CCAAAACTGTGTCTGCGACTCAACTGTATAGCCCGAGACCCTAGTACAGCGTCGCCCAGGAACACAGGCAGATATCAATTCTGGTTTGCAAAATGAATACACAAGCGCATGGATTAAATGACTGACAGGCCAGGGGTCTGGGGGAGCAGTCGCTCTCCGGAAAGTGACCGGCACAGCCATGCATGACTTCTCCCTCTAAGCTCTCGGCGATCTAAGAGACACAGCACAGAAGGTGAGAACAGGCCTCACGGGGGAGGGGAGAGAAAGCCCAGGGACACACGGCCCACCCGTGTCCCTCATCACGAGGTTAGAGCCTCCCCCCCGCAAGCTGGACGCGTTCCACAGCTGTGCCCGGAGCTGCTGTTCCGCCCCAGAATTACCTCTTTAGGGAGGAGATCTTTCCTTGTTGGAATCGGAGTGCTCCTCCTAAAGAGAAAAAGCAGCGGGTCAGAGCTGTAGGAAAAGCTACGAATCTTTGCCTCTTGGCCGAGAAGCTGGGCTTGAGGTGGGGGTGAGAGTTCTGTCCCATCCACTAGTCATCCCAGTCCCAGTTACACAAGGTCCAGGAGGGCACAAAGGCTCGCCTGCCCTCCAGCCTGCCCGGCCTCAGGCCACAGGCCACGTGGGGAACGGGGGCCCAGCACTGTGGCCAGGCCCCATAAGCCAGGGTCCTCCCCGGAGGGGACCCCAGCTGGTGCGGCTCTGCAGCTTTACCACACGGACCTTCGTGGGGAACTCCCTGAAACTGTAGCTTCCCAGGCCCTGCCCCAGCTCCCCAGATACCCCCACAGATTAGATTCAGGGGTGTGAGGCAGGGCCCTGAAATTTCTCCCATCCCCCCGACCCCCGAAAAGGAAAATACTATTTCCCTCAGAACCCGCTGATTTCGTTCATCCAAACCAACAGAGCCTGAGCAGCTACAATGGTCCTGAGAATTTATAAAATACTAAAAATAGAGAAAACAAGCCTGAGGCAGCCCCTACCCCAGGTGCTGACGGCGTTGTCCACTCCGGAGGGGTTCCCATGAATCACTCTCTCCCCCTGGAAGGCCCACTTGTTAATTAATTCCAAATCCTCCACGGTCCACCTGGAGAAGACACAGGAGTTCGTCTGTGCCTCGGAGGAGAGCAGGGGGCCAGGGTCGCCGAGGGCAGCAGGGGGAAGGATGCACAGGTTAAGCTTGGTGGAGACCAAAAAAAGTCAAAGGGGCTTGGGCCCTCGAACCCAGAAACAGAGGAACAGCCTGGAACCTCTCCACTACAGAGCGTGCTGTACCTTCCTCCCTTCCCCTGCAGCCCTCCCACCCGGCACCGTGGAAGGAGACCAGGCTTCAGATGCACACGGTCCTAGCAGCTGAGGGACTCTGGGCCCGTTACCTAACCTGTCTGAGCCCCATTGTCCTCATCTGACTTTTCCCAAAGCCCAACCGCTAGGAACGTGGATTGCAGGTGCCCCGGACACCCTCAGTGGGTCAAGCGTGCATTGCCCATCTCTGGATCGTCCCTAAGCACGCGGCCACGCTGCCTTTCTCAGGAGAAGTGGGGGCTCACACACGGTTTGAGTGAGCAGACCCCAAGCCCGTGAGTATCGAACAAGGATACAGTCAGCCCTTCCCCTGCCCTTTCTCTCAGCTTTTGTTTCCTTTCTGGGGACCCCCTGCCCCCACGAAACGGGGTGCTGTGGCCCCGAGAATGCTGGGGCTCCGGGGCAGAGCTGTGCAGCAGGCATGCCGCTGGTTCTCTGGGCATCCCCAAACAACAGCTTCACCCCCAATCCTGTTTTCTCATCTTCATCAACACAACACGGGCGATCGTGTCTCCCCCACCGAGGACGTGTGAGATAAGAACACAAAAGTGCTTTGTAAAACACCTGGGAAACAGTAAGGGCTCCGGAAAAAGGTCGCCTGGGATCGCGGCTCCTGGATTCACTCCAAACCTGGTCCAGCGCTCATTTGCTGTGGGACCTGAGCAAGGCCATCGCCCCCTCTGAGTCTCTTTCCTCACTGGCCAAATGAGAACGTGATGCCCTCACCATTCACATGGCGCTTGAGAGGCTCAACGCCATCACCAAGTGCTGAGCACCGTGCTGAAGCCTTTCTCAAATGGCCGTCTCCAGTAACCCCCACAAAAACCCTACAGGGAAGGTAGTTACTATCCCTCTCGTATAGAAGAGGACACTGAGGCTCAGGTGGGTAGAGCAGATCCCAGTGCTATTCACTGCTACATCAGTACCACATCTGCTGACTGGGGCCCAAGCTCCCAACGACTGAGCTTTATGGTGCCAACAAGACTCCCTCATTTGTCCAATATTTACTGAGCATCTACTATGGGCCTGTGACTAAGCTCACGGTAGGGAATGAACCAGACACGGCCCCTGACTGCTTGAGGCCTGGCATCTCACGGAGAGGGGATGCCCAGCAGCAATCATTATTTAACTACAACCCCCAGGAGATGCGATGTGGGGTGGATGGGGTGCCCCCCATCTGGAAAGGGGAGGGCCTGAGGTGGGTCAGCAAGGCAAGACGTGAGAGGAGAGCATTCCAGACCGAGGCTGTGTAGCATCTGGAACTGGGCAAGAGTCGGCCCTTTGCAGGAACTGCAAAGTGAGTGAGTGACGGGGAAAAGGGGCAACTGGACCCAGTCCAGGACCTGGCCTTCTCCACAAAGGCGAGTCTCCCTCCCATTCTGCACACCGTTCATCCTTTGGGGGCTCAGATTTCTAACCTCCTCTTCACAGGAGACCGGATTCCAGGTCTGTAGGATTTGGAAATGCTGGGGCCAGGGCAGGGGTTGGGGCCTGCTCTCATCAAAGGTCCTGGGAAGGAATGACTGGGTCTTCAGGGGAGGCGGCAGAGCTGGTTGTGAAGCTGCGTGAGAAAGAGCGTCACCCCACCACACACACTCTCGAGCACTCACACACACCTACACACACTCGCGCACACACGAGTTACCACGCCTTTTGAACGGCAAAGCTGGTCGGCTGGCCCATACGCATGAGTCTATTCGGGGGACCCAGGGCAAGCGGGCCTTCACCAATCAGTGATTAGCACATGCTAATGAGCACCATCATATCACAGGATCACCAAGCATCAAGGCTGGAGGGCCCCCCAAAGGCCCATTAGGTGCAGCCCCTCGCTTCCAGATGAGGAAACAGAGCCCAGGGAGAAGAAGGGGTGGCTCAATGGCCTGCAGCGAGTTAAAAGACAAACCTCACCGAAATTCCTGAAAACCGTCACCTTGTGTGACCTACAGGTGCATCTCTCATTACCTTCTGGATTCTTCCCCTGACAGAAGCTGTCTCTACCCCACGCCTCCCACTTCTTTTCACGCACAGGAACCATCCAAAGCGAGTGTGAGGAATGCTGACAGCCACATCCCATCGAGAGCCCCCCCCCCGCCCCAGATCTGCTGCAGCCATGAGGATCCAAGGGACCTTTGGGCTCAGTCTGAATTCAACTGTATTTTAACCTCCGTGTCTCAGAAGAGAGATCACTGGCCCCCACAGGGCACCCAGCGGGGCCCGGGCTATCAGAAAAGCACGGCATTTTCAGGGCCGAGGAAGGAAACCTCAATTCAAAACCAAGGTCTGGAGGAGGAAAGGGGTCCTCAGCCGCAGGCGAGCACAGCGTGGCCTTTGGGTCTGGTTCCAGCCTGGGCCCCTGCAGGGGCGTGGAGGGCACGGGAGCACCACTCCGGGAGGAACCACACGGCCACGTCCATGCTGGCGCCCAGCACGGCCTGAACAGCTTTCTCTCCTGCCGGCTACCCTGGGAGACAGACAAGCCAGCGGTGCCCCTGACATGGCACATGGGGGGTACCCAAGGCCGCCAGTGGGAGGGCCCCCCTGAGCCCCACGGGCCCAGGGACAGGCCTCACCAAGAAGCTGCCAGGCTGGATTTTGGACTGGCACCACTCCCAGGGAGGGACCCAGGACAGACCGTGCTCGGGTGGCTTCTCGAGGTACATTCCCCAGTGACAGACACGGCTGCCAGTGACACTGTCCCAACGAGCCTCATTGACTCACAGTCACTTCTCATATAACCGTCTGGTACGACCTGTTGCGGAGAAGGACGCTGAGGCCCCGAGGGGTGCAGCGGCTTGGCCGAGGTCCCACAGTGAGTCACCGGCAGAAGTGGACCCAACGGCTCCCTACGTCCGGGCTCGGGTTCTTTCTGCCACACCATGGGCTCTTGAACCCAAAAGAGGCAAGGTGGGGGGTGAGGGGTCGGGGAATTGAAGTGGCTCCGGGTTCAGACCGCCTGGGTGCAAGTCTCGTTCTACCATCCCTTGCTGCGTAGGCCGGGCCGCCCTCTGGCCTCCGGGCCTCAGCTTCCTCAGCTGTTCAGTGGCCACGTGACACCTCTGGTGGGAAGTCCTCTGAGAGAGAACCCACGCTCGGGTCGTGGCACCCAGGGTGAGGGCGGTGATTACCTGCTGGCGGACTCCCCGTCCTTCTGTGGGTTTGGGATCTCCTCACATACAGTCAGGAGAGCGGCGGCCATACACACACAGTAGGCAGCGCTGGAACCCAGGCCGGCCCCGGTGGGCAGCTGTGACCACACCATGACGTCCAGGCTGGGCAGGGCCCTGAAACACAGCAGGGTGCAGAGCGTGACTCTCTTGAAATCGAGTTAGCGGTCAAGGCCCAGGACTGGACATTGGCAGGGCCTGACTCCAACCCTTCGGCCTAGGTTTCTGAACTTGGGGACATTTGCCCTCCCCAAAAGCGGCCCTACGGGATGGGCAGGAAGTCATGGTGAACCAGGCAGCTTGGAAACAGGTACCAGGATCCTTTAAAGCACGACGTTCCCTCGTGAACCACCAACCGCTTCTCTCAATTCCTTCCTGTTCCCTGCACAGCGGGGCTCTCCCGTGGCCCTGCTCTGTGTGTATCCCTGCCCGGGACGGCCTCTTCCTCCCCCACGCAAACTCCTACCCATCCTGCAAAACCCTTCTCAAACGTCCTTTCCACTGGGAAGCTTCCCCTGGCCACCCACCCAGAAGCCATGCCTAGCTCGCCTCGACGGCCCCCTTTCTCCACTGAGATCTTCTCTAGGTGCACTGTGTGTTCACAGGATGCTTCCCCTGTTGCATTTCCCCCAAGCAAGGACTGTTAAACTTTACGTTCTGTATTTCCCGTTAAGTAATTCTGCTGTTTTCCACATATAAGATTATAATGAGAATCTGCTTTACAAACTACACACGCCTGCCCCACTCAGATCAGGATGTTCTGAAATGTGCACCCCTTCCCAGAAAGGGACGTGCCCCTCACTCAAGATGAAAATCCCATGGCAGACAGCAAGAGTTGAGATATTTGTGAATGTGCCCTCCGCACCGTGCCTGGCCCTTTGCTGTCTGAGGAAAGGGCTGGCTGCCCCTCGAGGCTTTCCCTTTGGGCCTGGGACCAAAAAAAAAAAAAAAAAAAATCACTGTGGGCTAGTTACAGAGCTAGGCTCATTTCATATATAATATTTCCAACCCTCCGATAGTTTCCTTGGGAGAATATTAATGGCTCTTATTTCTCAAGCTGTGTGCCAGGCTCTGCGTCACGCACTTTAGATAAATAAACTCTCTCACCCTCACACGAAGCCTACGAGGTAGGTACTATTACTTACCCCCATTTTACAGATGAGGACACTGAGGCCCAGGGAGGGTAAGAACCTCAAGGAAGCTGGTGGGCGGCCGCCGTGGGGTCTGACCCAACGTGCCCCGACTCCCCATCACCACGTGACACGGTCTCACCAGCACCACCACCCTGGCAGCCGGCCTCCCTGATGGCAGGCAGCCCAGGTCCTATGTTAAGGGGTGGAGCGGACGTCGGCTTTACTTTGCTCGTCAGTTTCCCCAGGGGCTGCGGGACCGGGAGCAGGGCTGCCTCTGTGGGCGTGGCCCGGGAGGAGTCACGTGGCAGAGGCGGGAATCTGGCTCTGGGCCCAGGCCACGCTCGTACCTCTGCTTCCGGCCGATGGACAGGTACAAGTGGAGGAAGGCCAGCACGGCCAGGCGCTCGGGGCTGGCGCCGTCCTCGGGGAAGCCCGCCACCTCCTTCAGCCTCTCCACTTGCTCTGCAGTGGGCGCCGTGGCGTCACCTTGCTCTGTGGCAAACAAGCACACGTGGCCGGGTGAGAGGGTCGCAGGCGCGTTCATAGACAACGGAACACGGGAACCCGAGCGGGCGTGAGGATCAGCATCTGAGGGACATGGGTTCGCGGCCCGACCACCAGGGCCACGTCTGCCGGGGGCTTTGGGCTTTGCGGGCATGCACACTAGGGTGTGGGTCCCCACGGTACCCTTTACCGGCTCTGGGGCCTTGAGCACATGACTTACCCTCTCTGAACCTCAGTTTCCCTCCTTGGTAGGCAGGGATAGGAACAGTACCTCCTCCAATAAACTGAAATAAGGTGCTTAAGACCCGCGGCACAGTTCCTGGCATGTAGTACGTGCTTAATTAATGGTCATCTTGAAACGCACAAATGCACACGAAGTGCATGCTAGCTCGACCACTCAAAGGTCTGGGTTCGACCCCCACGGTACAAAACCCAAACCAAAGGCAGTATTCAATTATCCCCCAAACGCGTCCCTCTCCCGAACCAACTCCTGAGAATGGGACACTCAAAATCAGAGAACGTGAAGTGCTGACATTTGCTTGGGCAGCAGGAAGAGGCCCGGTAGGAGGCTGGGCTGCTTTCCTCGGAGAGCCTGAGGAGGCCGAGCAAGCCCGACCAGCTTTACAAATTGCTCCCTGAGTCACGGGTCCAACTGTAAAGGGAACAGAACGTCGAGCTTGGTGTGTGGGCGCTGGGAAATGTTAGGGTGGGGTACGCGTGAAGCCCTATGTATTCCCCGAAATAATGACACACTAAAGGCAGCCAAACCAGTTAACAGTGTTACCGAGAGCACAGACATTTCAGAGCGCTGCAAGGGAAATGGAATGACTCATTAAGACACTGGATAGTTTAGGGGCGCCTGGGTGGCTCAGTAGGTTAAGGGTCTGCCTTCAGTTTAGGTCATGATCCCAGGACTGAGCCCCACATTGGACTCCCTGCTCAGCAGGAAGCCCACTTCTCCCGCTGCCCCTCCCCCTGCTCATGCTCTCTCTCTCAAATAAATAAAAAATCTAAAAAAAAAAAAAAAGACTTTGGAAGAGTTTGGAAAAATCTGGGTCTGAATCCTTTCTGCATCACTGACAATGCTGTGTGACCTGAGCCACTTGGCCCCTGAAGCTCAGTTTTCTCATCCATAAATGGGGATGGATACCACCACCTGTGTCCAGGGCAAGCTGGAGGATTCTAAGAGTACCAATATCCACGACACACTAGTCCAGTGCCTGGCACACATATAGATGCCCAATGAAATGTTCCCGGTTTTTGTAACTATTGGGAAGCAACCAGAGAATACTGAAAGAAAAAGACAGAGAGCCTGGCAATCTACTAGAAAACATGTCTCTGAAAGGCTCATGTTCCATATTCCTTTTTCTCCTTGGAGAAATCACTCAGAAGCCCTCACACACGTACTACACTCGGAGTCCCAGCCCTGGCCCACCTCCGATCCTGCCGGATTCTCACAGCAACCCTCCCAGGCCACAGGACTCTGCTCACAGAGGCTCCGAGGGATAAGTGACCTGTCCAGGCTCACACAGGCAGGGGAACATCTCCAGCCTCCGGGAGGGGAGGCCCGGTGATCTTGGAATCACCCAGGGAGCTTCTTTCAAATTACACCTGCCTGATCCCCTGCCACCACGACCCCTGTTCTTAATAGGAGAGGGGCAGGGCCAGGAATCTGTCTGTATTGTTAAGAACAGCAACAACAATGAAAACCTCCCCGGGGGATCCCAAGGCATGACTGGTTGAGAAATGGAGCTTTCTGCCTGTTGACCTCATCTCCCTGCAAAATTCAGGAGTGGCTTGCTGTGGACTGATGGTCCCAGAGGGCAGGGAGCAGTTGGGAAAAGACCCCGGAGGACTCCCACTTGTCCCACTCTGGCTGAGAAACACTGTTCCAAACAATGAGGCATCAGCCTGGCGAGGAGACAGCAAATGAACGGAGAATAGAAAACCCCCTTCAGCTTTGGTGCAGATGGCAAGCAACCCGCGGATGAAAAACCCTGCCTGCTTATGAGGGGACACAACATTCACAATATTATCTAAAATCAGCGCAGGGGTCTTTATTTATTGGCATGGAAAGAGAGTCCTGATACACTGAAGAAAACAAACAAACCACAGAAGTTTGTACGGCCTGATCGGATTTTGGTTAAGGAACAAGATATCCTCCCCATCTCCCTCAATCTATCTATCCATCTGCAGAAAATAATCCAGAAGGATTAACACCAAAATGCTGAGAGTTGTCATGCGGGGTGGTCAGGGGGGCAGTGGTTACAGGTGCCTTTTTTTTTTTTTTTTACTGACTGTGTTTCACTATCGACTCTGTTTTCCAACTAATAAGCATGTTACTTTTATTTTTAATGATTTTTAATGATACCCAACACCAATCAATACCTCCTCCTTGTCAAAACCATCTCACAGAAGGAAGGCTCCCTTTGTCCACTTTCAGACCTCAGGACCCTCCCAGAGGTCACTAATCACCCCTGCATGTACATACATACTGATACTTAATCTGGGTCTTTCCTTAGATACATGTTATTTGCATCTTGTGGTTTTTCATCCAACAACAGGCCTTGAGGATCAGTCCACCACAGCCCACATAGATCCAGTGCATCATTTGACACTCTTAAGTTTAAAAAAATAAGTAAGTAAAGCTAATTTTATGGGGTCGAGAGAAAACACCCCCAGAGTGGCTAGTCTCTGACCCTCTCAGAGACAGCCTAGAATAACCACCCAGCTGTCCCCTTTCCCCTCTGGTCAGGGCCCAGGCTCTTCCCACACCCGGTTCCTCCCCGCTGCACTTACCCAGAAAGCTCGTGTCCTGCAGCTGAAGCCTGGCCACATCCCAGGCCTGCTTGACGCCAATGTTTGGTAAGTTGAGGCACACTTTCCCATTGCTGTGGGGCTGAAGCCGGAGGAATGTTCTCAAGTTCAAGGCCACAGCCAGTGCCACCTGTAGAATAAAGGGCAAAAGCAATGAGCCTGGGCATAGGGGGGAGGTGCAAAGAGTTTGGCTCCAGTCTTAAAACCGGGGGTCAATGTCAATGTACTGAGGAGAGAGAGCACATACTAGCGTATAGGGCACATGCCCACCCATGCCCATGGCAGACACTGCTGATCAACCTTGGCATGCTCTCCCACTAAGTGACACAGCCTCTTCCCATCAATTAGGAGCTAATATCTACTTATGTTTGCCCTCCCCGTGCAAAACTTCAGAAGTCCTCCACACCAAGGAAAGGCTTCCCCACAATCATCACGTCAGCAAAGATAAAGTTAGGAACACAAAGAGTGACGAGCAGTGGAGGAGCACAGGAGTGGAAAAAAGCATGAGCTGTGGGTTCAGACAGACTTAGGTTCATTCCCGGTTCTGCTAAGGTACACGGGACCCTGGTCAAGCTACCAACCCTCTCCTAAGCCTCAGCTTCCACATCTGCAAAATGGGATAATCAAAGTTTAACCACAGAGGGCCGTCCTAAGAGTTAAATGAGATAATGCATCTCTCAGTTTTCTTTGCTGGATCCTACTCATCTTCCCCACTTCTGAATGTTGGGGTGCCCCAGGGCTCAGCGCTCCCACCTCTTTTCTTCTCCACCGAAGCCCAGCTTCCAGGTTGTCTCATTCCACCTGCACAGCTTTACATTTCAACTTTGTGCTCTCTTATTGGGTGAGGCCAGGGAAGCCCTTCAGTGGGCGTAAGACCTGTCTCTTCCCTGCCTTGCTGCGGAGAAACTGATCTCCTCTCCTACGTACTCCCAGGCTATGCCTCCAGGCTTCCTTCTGGCTTAAGAGTAGGGTCAGGGAGAAGAGGTGCCCAATTCTCAAAGGCTCTGGGGGACTTTACCTTGCCGTGGACCACGGCGTGCTCTCCGTGAAGGATGACTTTCCCTGGAGCAGACACCAGCAGGACTTCTGACAGCATGGCTCCTGACAATCCTGAAAGAAAAAGCCAGAGAGGGGTGCCTGGGTGGCTCAGTTGTTAAGCGTCTGCCTTCGGCTCAGGTCATGATCCCAGGGTCCTGGGATCGAGCCCCGCATCGGGCTCCCTGCTCCGCGGGAAGCCTGCTTCTCCCTCTCCCACTCCCCCTGCTTCTCCCTCTCCCACTCCCCCTGCTTGTGTTCCCTCTCTCACTGTGTCTCTCTTTGTCAAATAAATAAATAAAGATCTTTAAAAAAAAAAAAAGAAAAAAGAAAAAGCCAGAGAGAGGATGAAGCGTTACTAGAGATTGCCTAGTTCAAACTCATCATTCTAACAAAAAGGGCAGCTACCATTCAGCACTTGCTATGCGCCCCAAAGACTGTGCAGTGAGGCAGTGCACTAAACGCATGAGAAAGACCTGGGTTCAAATCCCAGTTCTTCCACTCTCCAATGAGGTCATCTTCGCTAACCCACTCAAATGGCTAGGAATCTCGGTTTCCTCATGTTATGTGGGGACAAGAACTGGACTTAACTTCAGTGGGTTTTGGAAAGGTTACCTTACATAATGCAAGAGGAACACTTGACAGTGTCCGGCACTCATTCAACTACTGACAGCCATCTGTTACCGGTTCTGTTCCTGGTTGCAGCTTTTATTACTGCTGCTGTCGAAGGCAGAAATTTAAATGAAATCATGGGCCAGAAGGAACGCTTCCCTGGACTTTTAGGCTGTTTCCATTGCCTCACAATGATAAATCACAGGCTGTAGAGAACAGCCGTCAAACCCCTTCTTGCAAACGTAAGCCAGGATCTCTACAATACAGAGTCCTAGAAAGTGACTCGCTGGGTCTACAGGTGTGCGCGGCTTAGATTTTTATAAACTCTGGAGAATTACCACCCATTTAAGGCCTTACGTGCATTACCTTAATATAAGACACGAACCGCACAACAAGCCATGTACTATCGTGATCCCGTTTCTTAGCGGTGGAAACTGAGGCTCGGAACCGGGAAGCCTACTGCTGGTCCAAAGCTCCAAACCACTTCAGATTCAAGTTCGCCGACCGCTCGGGACGGACTCCCAGAGTCGGGGACACTGAGCCAGAGAAGCCGGGAGCCCGGCCCGAGGTCGTCCTGGGTCTCAGCGTCAAACCTCGCGCCACCCGGCCCTGCGACCCCAGCTTCTCACCTGCCTCCTCCCGCCCCGGGAGCAGAAGCGGGAGCGGCTCCGTACCTAGTCCCCGAGCGCCCCTCTCCCGGGGGGAGGGCCTCGTCCTTCCTCTCCGCCAATCAGAACACGCGAGCTGGGCGTCCTTTCCCAGTTGGCTTGAACATTGACCAATAGGTGTTGCAACAAAGCTGTCACGGGTTTCCCCGCCCCTTCAGTAAACCAATGGGAAGCAAGCCCCTGGGAGTGTCCCGCCCTGGGCCGAGAGCCACGGACCAATGGAAAATGGGGCTGAACGGTGGTGCGGCCGGGGGTAGGAGGAGTCACTCCGGGACCTGGACGGGAGCCTGGCGGGGTCAGCCCCCGACGAGCGGCCTGGCGCATGGCTGTGTGGGGCCTGGGAGGCCGCCTTGGCCTGCGCGGCGGTGTCGGCGCCGGTAGGGTACTGTGTCCCCGTTTCCAGAGCCACCGCCCCCAGGGCGTGAAAGACGGGGACGGGTGAGTGCCTGGCTGGGAGGGTAACTCGGATACCTGCCGCAAAATTGTGGGGTCGTCGCTATGATGACGTCACACCGCTGTGAGGTCACCGTAGCAACCGCCGGGTGACGTCCTCTCTTGGTCCTAAGTGGTCACGTGGTCACGTGGGCACCGTGGGCACCGTGGAAGCCAGAGACCAACATTTCTTTGCCCAAGTCCGAAGGAAGCCCAGCTGTCAGCGGTCAGGGCAGGACATGTCCCACGGGGGCCGGGAGGGCCATCTTGCGGGGCCTCACGGTCAGGTGGGGGCCTCAGTTCAGATTTTGACGTATCTCCCAGGCAGTTCATACCTTAAGACACAGAGATACACCAACGATCTGAAGATGGCTGTCATCATAGACCTTTAAACTTGCACCCCATTCCTGGACCTCAGAACCTGCGGAGTACCATGAATTAATAATGGATCGATAAATTTCATAGATCCAGTAATTGAACGTTTTGAATAACTTCCTAATGCCATGTTTTAGTGTCGAAGCCTGTATTAAAGGTGTTATGTTGCAATTTGAAAATGCAGAATTCGACTCTGTTTTAGCAGTTCATCATTCCTGAAGCTTCATAGAATGGAAGTGGCCCAGATTGCTTTCTCTCCGAGAAGCCTGGACTTGGCGGAATAGAGGATAAGAGTTTGGGTGGGTAGAAGTAAGGGTGGAAGTAAGAGTTTGGGGGGCGGGGAGTAAGGTAGTCTTGGGCATGAATCCCAGCTGTATGTCTTCCTTCCTGGGTGACCTGGGAAGGCAAGTGTCATCCTGTGAGCTCCAGTTTTCTCAACAGTAAAATGAAGGTCATAGGTAGTTCCTATCTTTGGGGCTGTGGGAAGATTCCAGGGGTGATTCCAGGAGAATGCCAGCAATCCAGTTAGCACAGTGCAGAGACTATGGAAAGTGATCAGTAAACTCTTTCCGTGAATATTTATTGAGCATGAGCTACTCTGCAGATGTGGATGTGGGCAAGACACAGAACTTGCCCCCAAAGGGCTGCATTAGGAAGAAAAGGAGGGGAATGATGTCAGCAGAGATGCCGGCAGATGCTGGTGCTGTCCCTCAGGCTACAAGCAGCAAGCTGTGACCACTGAGGGAGGTGTCACACTGGGGAAGCCATCCCCACTCACCACGTCTTGATGTCTGTTTCTCATCAGGCCACAGTCTTCCTTGAAGACACCCAAGATCCCCAAGATATACACCAAAACAGGAGATAAAGGTAGGGGGCGGGTGAAACATGCAAAAAAAAAAAAGATAGTCAACTCCATCTTAAAGTTCTGCCAAATCGTTCGGTCATTAAAAATTATGTAAATCTCAATAAATATCATCAAATATGACGTGAAGTGAAAGAGGTCTAAGACATATATATATGTGTGTGTGTGTTTTTCAAATATATATATATATATTTTTAAAGATTTTGTTTATTTATTTGACAGAGACACAGCGAGAGAGGGAACACAAGCAGGGGGAGTGGG